TAAACCCTAAACCCTAAACCCTAAACCCTAGCTGCGGCGGCAATGTGGCCTTTCGCCCCAACTTCTTCAGCAGCACTAAACCCTAAATTCAGGGAAGTCTACACTTGTGTCTTCGGGCCAAATGGCCCAGAGTACAGTTTGCAGGGGGTACAGGATGTGTCCCCTGGGGGCCCCTGGGGGGCCCCCCACTGGGGGCCCCCCCAGGGGCCCCTCTCGGGGGGCCCCCCGGCGAGCCCGCGGGGGGGGGGCCCCAGCCGCATGAACTCTTCAGCTTGTGCTGCTGAGTTTGGGGCCTCCTTCAGCGCAGCAGCGGGGGGCCCCCCTTCTGCTGCTGCTGCTGCTGCTGCTCCTTTAGGGGGCACCAAGCGGCGGCTGGAAGCAGCTTTTAATAAAAGTGAGATGAAGCAGCAGCGGCTGTGCGGCATGTGGCACGTCGCGTAGCGCAGCGCAGTGTACAGACACCCCAGCTGCAGCAGCAGCAGTAGCAGCAGCAGCAGCGGGAGCGCGTTTTTCGCGTTTGCTGCAGCAGCTGGCGAGAACTTCTCTTGTAAAGTGCATTTAAAGGCCGCCTTCTACCTGCGCGTTGCGGGCCTTTGTGGGGTGTACGTACACCCGGGGTGTACGTGCAGCTCGCGCCGGTGGGGTGTACCTACACCCCACGGGGTGTACATACAGCGCGCACTTCGTGCAGCAAAAGAGGGGTCCCCACTTCGCCACTTTCAAGTCCAAATTGGAATTATTTGCATTTCTTTTTCTCCGCTTTTTGGGCCCCGCAAAAAGCCCCGAACGGCCGCGACTTTGCGCAGCAAGTCCCGCGCATGCGCTGCGCTCGGGTGTACGTACACCCCAAGCCCCGCGCTGCTGCATGCACTCGCAGCCCGACGCCCACTTGCATGCATGCGCATTCCAAAGCCCCAAAATGTGCATCTTCCGAGCTTGGGGGCTGCGCTGCTGCTGCTGCTGCTGCTGCAGCAGCAGCAGCAGCGGCTGCTGCAGCGGCTGCTGCAGCGGCTGCGGAGAGGACTGAAGGAGAAGGGACAGCAGCACTTTTGCTTCCACCGCAGCACAAGGAGAAACTGTCTCTTCGGGGATAGGGGCTTTGCTGCTCCTGGTTCGTGTGCCTGCTGCTCAGGCCCCAGGAAACACCAATTGCTGCTGCCGCAGCAGCTGCTGCTGCTGCTGCTGCAGCAGCAAAGAGTCTCACGGAGGCAGTCGTTGTTGCCGCTCCGCGCGGCCCGTTGCCTTCAATTCATTTTTCGGTTTCCGCCGCATGCAGGCAGACGTGAGCTGCTGCTGCTGCTGCAGCAGCAGCAGCAGCGGGACAGACAAGCTGCTGCTGCTGCTGCTGCTGCAGCAGAACAGATAAGCTTACATTGACGGTTGGGATTTGTGCTAAGTAATAATATGTGTTTGGTCGCCCATAGTGCTTGCCGCCACGCAGCTGCAGCAGCTGCAGCAGCAGCTGCAGCCGCAGCAACGGCGGGGCCAGCAGCAGCAGCAGCAGCTGCTGCTGCGTGTGGTTTCGAGCAGCAGCAGCAGCTGCTGCTGCTGCAGGGCTGTTTGCTTGAGTTGGGGTTTGGCGATGCTGCCGGACTATGAGCAGAACTCGCGCTTGGTATTTTGTCTACTCGGTCTCAGGTGTACAGACACCACAAGGTAGGTCTTGGAAAGCTGCAGCAGCAGCAGCAGCAGCAGCAGCGGAAGGAACAGAGCGGGCAGGGGCGAGGGAAATATAAAAGCGAAGCGAAAAAGCCAGAGGCAAAGGCTAGTGTTTAACTGCATTAAATAAAATGAATTTAATTAATTTTGTTGCATTAAATGAAACTGAAAAGAAACAAAAGAAACTCTTCAGGTCCAAAAACCCTTCACGCACTTCCCCGCTACCTTGAGGTGTACGTACACCTGAAACGGGCTGCAATTTCAGATCCTTCTTTGCCTTTTTTGTGCTGCTCTTTTTGCGGCATTTTAATTTATTTTTCTTTGAGATAAACAGATCAGAGTTAGAAAGAATTCCTCTACTGAGAAGTGGCGAAAATTTGGTTATTTTGCTGCAGAGGGCTGCGGCGGGGCTGCGGTGTACGTACACCCCAAGCGCTCGCGCCGCTGAGGTGTATGTACACCTAAGAGGTGTCCGTACACCTGAGAGGTGTCTGTACACCTGGGAGGTGTCTGTACACCTGAGGGGGCGGCGGCGGGTGTACGTACACCTGGAGGGCTCGTGGGGTGTACGTACAGCTGGGGAGGGGCTGGGCGTGGGGAGAGAGCAGCAGGAGCTGAGGTGTACGTACACCGGAAGGCGCGGCCAGCGGTCAGGCCGCTGCAGCAGCTGTGGGGGCCCCCGCTGGGCAGTTGTGTTGGTTTCTGCGTTTTGTTGAGAAGTAAAGTGGAATAAAATAAATAAAAAGAGTTTTTAAACTGGCTGAGCAGTCGAGAGGCCGTGAGCGTGAGCCAGGGCCCCACTAGCAGCAGCTGCGGCGTGTTGCTGCAACAGCAGCAGCAGCAGCAGCAGCAGAGAGCTGGAGTGTACCGACAGCTCGCGCAGCTGTCTGCGAACGCAGCCCGGACTTCGCCTCCTGGGGTTTTATTGAAAACTATTTTTTGTTTTTGTTTATTTGTCCTTCTTGGTGGAAAGAAATAGCTGGAAAGCAGTGTAGCAGCGCTGGGGTGTATAGGCAGCTCGCCGCGGTGGCCGCAAGACCCACCCAGCTGCCCGCCTCTTCCGGAGTAGCATTGTTTCTTTTTTTTTGTAAATTTATTCTTTTTTTCCATTTATTTTCCTCCAGAAGACTTTATCTTCTTTCTTCTCGCCGATCCCGATCCCAGACCCCCCAGCCAGCCGCTGCAGGTCACCTGGGCGCTGCGGCTCTCGGGGGCCCCCAGGCCGCGGCCGCCGGGGTGTACAGACACCTCGAAGGGCTTCCCAGGGCCCGTCGGGGGCCCCTCAAAAGGGCCTCTGGGGGCCCCCGGGGCCCCAGAGGCTGCTGCTCCGCCGCCGCCGCTGCTGCTGCTGCTGCTGCTGCTGCTGCTGCTTGCCGTCTCTTTCCCTTTCTCGCTCCAGGGCCCCCGAGGCCCCTCTCGTGGCCCTTTTGCTGCTCGCTGCTGCGCTGCTGCTGCGCCCCAGCTGTACGTACACCCCAGACGCCCCACAACCAGCAGCAACCCCACACATCATGGACCCTTTTCCATCGGAGACAGACCCCCAAACCCTTCTGCATGCAGCTGCCCCTGGGGGGCCCCCCGAGCTGCCTCC